TATATATATATTTCATTACTCGCCGAGTAACGGTATTGCTACTGCAACTAGCATGGAGCCGGTTTCCCGGGCGGCATGTCATTACCCACCACCCGGCCTCTTGATTGCGGTTTGGCTGGTTCGCTGTTGATTGGCCGGCCAATCAGGATGCCAGGGGTGGGGGGGGGTCATTACCCACCTCCCAGCTTCCTGATTGGCCGGGAAGCTAGCTCCATGTTCCCTCTGGCCACTGCCGGTCAGAGGAAATCTCCCTCTGACTAGAAGTTCTGGTATTGGAGCATTTACTCAGTATCGGCACCAGTGCATCCCTAGTTTCTAATGACTGGTTTACTTTTGAGTCCATCTTCCCAAAATGGAACAGAACAGTTTCTTATAGAAGAACTCCGGGCAGAAGTTTTATTAACCTTTGCAGTGGGGCTACAACCGCACTGCAAAGGTTAACTGCTCAGTTTAGCCTAGGGTAAAAAAAAAAAATTATACTCTCCCGATCCTCGGAGCCGTCAGCACTACTTCCAGCCTGTCTCTCCTCCGCTGCAGTGATGGTATGTCCCTCGGTGTCCTCTTCGTATACACTGTATTGAAGGTGATGACTCGAGGATCCTTAGACTGCTGCAGCAGACGGGGAGAAACACTGCAAGGACCAGTCTTAAGAGCTAGCCGTCTCTGAGGATCAGGTGTGTATAACTTTTTTTTTTTTTTTTACCCTAGGCATAGATGAGCAGTTAGGTTAATAAAATTTCTGCCCAGAGTTTTTCTTTACATCTCTCATGTAGTTGGATCGTGCGTTCTAGGGACTTGAGTCCTTAGATCTGTTCACTTGTTGCAGCCGCTATCAGCGGGTTCCAATCTCCCTGTTGGGTATTTATGTATTTCCACTTTTGCAGCCAAATTGGAATAACACCCAGTTTGTTGCTTGTTCCCATTCACATAGCATTTACTTGCTTAAACACCCTACCTAGTTTCCCCCATGTGGGGAGGCTATGGGATTCGTTTACCATAATTAACCCTGTCTGTTCTGTGCTGGCAGATATTATTAGTTGTAAACTAGATTTCAACACTGTCTGTCCTAACAAAGGGTTAAAGATCTCAAGGCTTGTGTTCCGCATTGTATGGTAATGAGGGACAATAGATTACAGTCCTATGTATAAACTACTTCAAAAAAATCTAGAAGGGTATGCTATATTTTTGTATAATTATTTTTAGGTATGCTGTGTGTGGGAACACATACAAAAATGTAGCAGGGGCTTCTCATGTTTGACTGCAAAAGTGTAAGTAAACTACACTTTAACTTTATGTCCTGGAGAATGTTAAAGGAGGAGAGAGAATACCCTGAGGTGGGGGCTACAGAACCAGGAACTGCAACACAGAGATGTCATTGCAGTCTCTGAGAGAGATGGGAAACAAGTCATCGCATCAGAATCCTCTTATAACTGAAGTGCCACTTTTGGATTTATTGACCGCCATTTACTATCTATAACTTATTTTTATTTTTTGCTCCACATGCTCAGACCGCAGAACACACAAACATAACTCTGCAATGTATTACATTGTGTGTTTCTTCTTTAATATAATGTTCTAAGTTGTAAAATAAAAAGAACTGCTCATTTCCTTACGTACATGTACTTTTTTATTTCTCCGACTCAGGTGTTGTTGGAATGCTATTTAAAGAAGGATTTGGTGTATCAGAAGGCAACTCCAACGTTCCATCACTGGTCAGTTGATGAAAGAAGGTTCGGCCTCACCTTTCAGAGTCCTGCTGATGCACGAGCCTTCGACAGAGGAGTACGCAAAGCAATTGAAGACCTCACAGAAGGTAGTGAAACCTAAGACCCGCATTCCAACTATTCTTTGCCTTGGGGTGTGGAACTTGCGTGATCCGTCACATTCCTCAGTTCCTTTTTTTGTGCTGGTGATACCAGAAAAACCCTGAAGCTGGATGAATGTTGGCAGGCAAAGAAAGAAGGACTTTTCTAATTTGTCCCATGTTGTATATGTTAATGAGGACAGGGTAAAGTAAGCACAAATCCCCTAGGTAGGAGGATGAGCAGTATGTATACCAGTGCCAAGTAATCTCTGTTTTTACATGATTGTATTTGAAGCATACTGCCTACCCAAATGATCAACTGAGACTTAGGACAGCAAAGATATATAAAGGAAACCCCCCAGGTAGACAGCTAACCTCGCTCATGGCAGATACCGATACGGTATTGTATGTCAAATTTTTTGTAAACTCTTACACATTGTAGTAGTCCAGTCACCCCTCCAGACCTATATGTCTGCATCACCTTTCAGAACCTGTAAGCTATGCAGATACAGTGCCAGCCATTAGGAGCCAGCATTGCTGACTCCTTTCCCAAATCCACATTCATGGACTATGGCCTTCTTTTGCAAGTTAAAACTCCTTGATATCCAAAATGTACTACTACTAAGAAAACAAATCAAAACATAAACCAAAAATATGCTACATCATTTTCAACATGAAAACATATGCTAGTGTGACCATGTGACTAGATCAATATGAGATCCCGAGTAACACTTACTGTAGTCATGTGGGCTAACTCTTCTTTCTTGCAAATCCTAACATTCAGTATTTAGTTTTTGATGTTTCCTATTAGACCTCCCTTAGCTGGTGAGGGGCTATCATGCTGCACTCTAGTATTTTGTGCACTTGTATCCCCTTAGCATCCAGTGATTTCTCTTGCAACCCTCTGACGTTTAGCTAAGGGGCCCATTCACCACATCATCAGCAGACCAGATTGTTTCTGGACCCAAAATGCATCCAATGTATCCCTATGCTATTTCTGGCCTCTGTTCACACCAGCGCAGTCCGTTCCAGACCAGAAAAATACTTGTCTCATTTGGTCTGGAATGCACTGGAGCTTCGGGCAGGTTCACACCATTTTCTGGACCAGATCTGGTCCAGAAAATGGGGCGAAGTGTTCACATCCCCCTCTGGTGTCCAGCATGGTTTGAACCCATACTCCTGACATGTGATGATTTTTGTATTAAGTGCATTATATACAGCCTCTAGAAACATTGTTTATGCTGGGACTTGTAGTTCCATAAAGTTGGGTGGACATGTACAAATGTCTAAAACTTTGGTGGTTTGGTGATCACTTACAAAGCATAGCCCAGTTCATGATGCTATCCCGGCTCTAAACCCCCCACCACCTTTAGTGACGCTGTGGTTTTTTTATTCTTGTAAGTTTACCTGGATACCCAGCTCCCTTTTACCTTCTTACTGAGCTTCACTGTCCTATTGTAAGCCCTTGTTCATGAGAGTGTCTTTCATAAAAATGTCTGTAGCATTGTGTAGCAACCATCCAGCCTCAATGTTTTTTTGTTTTTTTTTCACCAATTGATTTCCTGTGCAGTTTTGAGGCTCGTTACTTAAAGGCCATACAGAGAATTCTTTAACAAAAATAAAAATGAAATGTCGTCAACTCAAAGAATGCAAAGGGTGTACTCTACACTGGGCCCATAAAGTCTTGGGGCTGGGGTAGCAGAAAGCTATACTTGGTCATAGATGGCTTAATAAATGTAAGCAGTGCCCTGCTTGAAAATGTTGGTTTGTTTTTGAACTGCAAGATGGGGATAGAGCCCCAGGCAGGAGATCACACAGGGAAATCTGCTTCTCCATGGAAAGTCTTCTACCAGTGGGTCCCAATCCTTCGCTCTTCTGTGTAGTAGCAGGAAAGATCAGAAATACTGCTATCACCATCGGGGCCTTGTCAATGCTTCAAATTATGCAAGATCGGGCAAATGCCTTTCTGGCTATCATTTTTATACAAATGTTTTGTCAGCTTTTGGAGTTAGTTCACATGACGCTTGTGCTGTAAGGCACATTGGGGGGGAATTTATGAAAACTGGAGCAGCTGTGCATGACAACCAATCAGCTTCTTTTTCATTTTTAAATCTTAACTGAACAAACTGAAGAGAGAAGCTGATTGGTTGCCATGGTCAACCTCCCCAGTTTTGATCAATTCCCCCTATTGAGCTTTTTTTGTGCATGGGCTTCTAACACAATCCACCTCCATTTTGAATCAACTGTTGAAAAAATAGGTCCTGCTTAATCAACATCAGTTGCATCATTCATTTTGTATAGATTGTCAATGCATAGCAATGGAAGAGAAAAACCAACCCAGACTTTTTTTTTTAATGCAGCGCACTTTGTATGTTGTGTGCTGCAGTGTTGGTCTATTGACTGCTACTGGACTTGTGAGTTGGCATTCTAAGTAAATGACTATGTGGCATACGGATGGATGCATTTCTTAACGCCCATTAGAATGTGTGTTAATGCAACATATTATAGTGAAGGTGAGCTTCTACTCTACTTTCTGTTTGAATTTCAGTAGCCACTTCCTTAGACTTCTATGGGACCAGCTTCAATTCAAACAATGAACAGTGACCAGATGTGTTAGGATAGTGGTGGGCAACTCCGCTTCTCCAGCTATTGTAGAACTACAAGTCCCGTTAGGCATTGCAAGACTGACTGTTACAGGAATGACTCCCAGAGGCATGTTGGGATTTGTAATTAAAGCACTGCTGGAGGGCTGGAGTTGCCCACCCCTGTCTTAGGAGATGAGTATAGCACTCAAAGCTAGAGCTGCAGCTAACAATTATTTTCAAAATCGATTAGTTAGCCGATTATTAAGTTCAATTAATCGGGTAATCGGATTAAAAATAAAATACATTTTTTTTAAATTGCTCCAGTGATGGGACTACTAGTTTGAATTGAGATTGTAGTCCATCACAGGAGCAAGCTTGGAGCGGTGGAAGTAAAAAAGGAAAAAAAAAAAGTGTGGTGTGCAATATAGTGAAATGAAAAGTGTAAAATTATACAGCAATGAATGCAGAATGGCATCGGCTATAGAGGACTACAAATCACAGCAATAGTACATTATACAGCGCAATGCAGAATGCCACCAGCTATAGAGGAGTACAACAAATCCCAGCAATAGTCCATTATAGCTGGTGGTATTCTGCATTGTGCTGTATAATGTATTATTGCTGGGTTTTGTAGTCCTCTATACAGCGCAATGCAGAATACCACCAGCTATAGAGGAATACAACAAATCCCAGCAATACATTTATACATACAGTGTATAATGTATTGCTGGGATTTGTATTCCTATGTATAATATACAGCACAATGTACTATCAGCTATAGAGGAATACAAATCCCAGCAATACATTATACAGCACCATGTGTGGGAAAGTGCAGGCTTACCTGAGCAGTCTTCCAGCAACTTTGTTTCTGAGATCGGGCCCGTCTATTGGCGGCTGTCATCCGCCCACACCTGCTCCTCCTTACTTCTTCTCCCCGCGTCCCTGTGCCGATCGTGGATTTGGGCGGGTGGTGAGCGTGAGGCGGGGAAGAGGTGCGGCGTGTGGAGCGTGGATGCAGGTGGGTGGGTCTGGCAGCGGCGAGCGTGAGGTGGGGAGGAGGTGCAGCGCGCAGTGTGTGTGGAGCCGTGAACAGGGCCAACCAATCGGAAGCCGATTAATCGATGATTGAAAAAGTTGACAACTTTTTCAATAATCGATTATGTCGATTAGTTGTTGCAGCCCTACTCAAAGCCTATATTCAGTTCTTAATATCTCACAAAGGAGTCTGGTAATAAGAAGTAACACACTACTTTTATCTCTCAGGCTGTTTTAAAGAACACTTTCTGAACAATTCTGAAGTGTACGCCAGCCCTAACAAATAACTTATTTGCTCTTTTTTGGTCTGTTAAATATACCATTGAAAAGTATTTTTATATCTGTTCAATACAATAAGTGCGCTCATTGCTCCTGTCAGAAATGCATTTCTGTCCTGTGCACTCTGTAACGTTATTTTAGTCTTATCCTGCCCAAGTTCCCTTTGTGGACTGCCGAACACGTCCCGATGTTATGGAAATGAGCAGACAATGTGTTCTGCAGTCTTCACATACTTCCTGTCCTTTAGTGACATTGATGTTACTCCACAGATACAGTGCTGTCACTTTAGGACAAGACGTGTGTTACTGGCAGCATCGCCAGGTGAAAAAAGCAAATGAATGCAGCCACCACATACAGGGACTGTTGAGCTGCAATATAGTACGTTCTTGGGTTCAGATTCACTTTTAAAATGAGCTCTTTGAGTGTTGAATGGGCATTTGAAGGAGTTTTATTTTATGTGATGAGGCCCTGTTTCCAACTGTGCAAAAGGACCTGTTTTTTTCTGTAGCTACACCTGTTGTGCTGTATATTAGTATCATGTTGAAATACTGACCTGTTGGTTCTGTTCACATAAATAGAGCACAAAATGGAAATGGTTAAATTGTAGCACTGCTCAAGCTTCTTGCATATCAGATTTCTGCTCTAAAGCATGTTGTCTACCTGAAAGAAAGGTAGGACTTGTTTAGCTGGAGACTGGCAGGGCGCCCAGGAAAACTTGCTTACACTTTTTTTTTTTTCTCTTTCAATAATGTACTAAAAACATGTATTCATATCTTATCTCTTTGCTTTTACTCCAG